AGCGCCGCCGCGCTCCCAAGCGGTGCACTGTAGCAGTGCGCCACCGGGCCGGCCCAGAAATCACCATCTGATTTGATAAAAATATCTAATACAGGTTTTTCCCTATCTCTCAAAATAGGTGGCATTGCCAAACTCTTTGAAAATGTCCACTCTGGGGTTTATATTATATTTGAAAATTACTTTAAAAAAAAAACACAGAACCAAATGATATGTATTCTAAAAAAACCAAAAACGACCCCCCACACTTGCATTGGAGATGCACCATTGGAAGATCCCTTGAGGCAGGAGCCATCCAACCAGCCCCCCTGGAGCTGGCCAGGGGGCAGAGACTCCTTACTTACTTCTGAGGCTCCCCATGCTGGGTGCAGGGTGGGTCCGCGGAGGCAGGGTGCTGTGGTAGGGCGGGGTGGTGCTGAACAGGATGTCGTTGGGCAGGGCCTGCTCAAGGATGGAACTCCTGGAACTGCCAAAGGAGGACCCTCTGCGATGGCTGCAGACACTCTCGTCAGAGAGGGTGCGGTACAGTGACCTCCTCGGGGACAGGTGCCCATACAATGAGAACTAGGGTTTGCACAAAATAGGGAGAGACATTAAAATCTGAAAGCATGAAATTTATCTAAGTCTGGTGGGTTCACCTGTTACGGTGACAGCTGCTTTGAGCTTTCCCTGTTAGCTCAGGGATGCTAAACCAGCCACGTGGGTGATCAAGGCAAGCGCACCAGGGCTTCAGTGCAGTTATTGGATTTTAATGTTTTCCTCCTTTGACATTCTGTGCAATATTATCACAAATGAGACATGCACAGCTTTATTAAGTCTGATACGTTAAATGGAACCTCCATAACCTTGTAGCACTGACAGGCCCTGAAAATACATAAGGCTGCCATTTCAGGCAATAGTTATTCAAAACCACACAGAGTGCTGGCTTGATTTTAATCTGAAATGACTACATTTTAATATTAGGCAATTTCTGTACCGATCAACTACATGTGAAGTTCAATCGAATGTAAATATTAATAAAACTAATTTTGAACACCGAAGCTTTCTGGGCCCTATAAACAGGCTCACAAACATGGCATCAGTCCAGCAAAATCTTCCTGTCCACTGGAAAGTATCACTCGCAAAAGTCGGTACGACAGTTGTCGAAAACCTAGTTATGATAATGGATCACAACCATATTTCAAGGAGGCATTAAAATTATTGTCTGGTAAATCACAGACAGGGGAAGAAAAATTCTTACCAAAGCAGCAAGTAGTCAAATATGCAAGAGAAGTTAAATCAAACCTGAGTTTCCAACTATTTCCTGCACATTCTGAACCATGTCCCTTTTACACAAACAATAGTGAAAACCAGAACGTTCACGTCAAACAAAGAAATGGCTATTTACATTTGTGAATGCGGCAAGGCGGCTAAAAATATTCCTATTGTACGTGTTCCTTCCATGCTGTTAAGTCTTCCAGCTGATGGATGGGGACTGCAATGTGCCAGAGCTACGGAGTTAAATTTGCACCATGAAAAAGGAGGTGATTTGTCTCAGAAGGAAAAAGACACATGGAGATGTTCATTCCTACCAGAAGAAAAGCTACTTGCGCTCTAAGTGCGACAGCCTGCCTTTGCATCTGAGCGCACACAGTATCACATTCATGACTTGATACAAGTTAAGAAAAAGAGAGTCACTGTCCCTTTTCACCCTAGACCAGCAGGTTTTTCAGAACACGATGACAGGCCCATTAGACTAAAGCTGCTTTGAGGTGGTGTCTAATTACTGTTGTGCTAAGAGCACAATTAGGTTAATTGCGGCCTTGTTGCAGCATAGGGAAGAGAGAAACACAAAGCCTTGCTGTTTCCCCTGATCACGGTCAATATGGCAATGCCTGATGCCTGTTTTCCTTTTCATTTGAACGAGAGGGGGCTCTGGGTTAGAAGTGGAGAGGCAGATCCCGTTCCTGACTCCAGCACCAAATACCTGTGCGGACTTCACAATTCACCATCCGGGGCCTCAGTTACTTGCAAAAAGGGGTGATTGGGCTAAATGAGCTGTAAGTCCCTTTTAATACTTTGCATTAGCTAACAAAGTGGCTGAAGAGCCTGTAATGTTAATGCATAAACTAAATCTAACCGAGATAAGTAATCTAGAAGTCAGGTGGAGTGAATTTCATCAGTACTGTTCACGATCACCAGTTACCTCCAGGGACTGCACTAGGCTCCTCGCAGGTCACTTATCTCCCTCTAACGTGGCAATTAAGTTATTATGATCGCCTTTTCTCTAATGAGGACACGGAGGCCAGGTCACTTGCGAAACACAACGTGGCTGATCATCACTGGAGCTGGGATCAGAGGCTCAGCAGCCTGTCAGCTCTATCCGAGACAGAAAGCTCCCTTCATACCTGGCCTGGCTCCCTGATGGTAAAGTCATGAGAGAATGTACATGTAGGAATACTCTGGAAACCCTCAAGTGTCTCTGGACTTGTTTTGAGTGTTTCTGGAAACTTCCAAGGCCCACAAAAGTCACCAACCTTTCTTCTCCCCTCCTCCACTAAGGGGCTGTCAGGAAGCATCAGTTTCAGAAAATCTTCCTTGGACAGAACGTGTTGAGGGTCTGCGGTGGCATCTCCCACCCCTGCCTGGTGCTGGGTGGCTGCGGACACGAGGTCCATGTCACCGTACATCCTGCAGAAACAAACCAGAACAGAAGCTGAGAGGAGAGGCAGTGCCTGTGGCAGTGACAACCAAAACCCAGAGACCAGCTTTAACAACCCACACGTGCCCATAATTCCCAGTGATCCGGCCAGCTCACTGTCCCTGCATTTGTTCCAAATCCCTGTGCCATGTCACATTTGTGAAATGGACTCAACTGCAATGTCAGATTTCTGAATAATTCAGGAACACATCAGATCCCCAAAGCCCAGGACGAGAAAAAAATAACAGCCAACTTTTAAAAGAAGGCTGTTTTCCCTTTCCCAGTCTGTGTCAGAAAACACAGCTTCAACAATTCATCAGAGATCATCACGTGTCTTTTGAGGGACTCGAGCGAGCCTTTCTCTGGAGGCCGGACCACCAGGCCCCCATCGTACCCAGGAACAGAGAGAAAGTCACCCTGGGAGCCTGGAGCTTAGCAGTCATTAATTCAGGCATGTGCCAAACATGTTTGATTATCAGCAATTCCAAAAAGCTGTTTGGATAAATAAAGCAGCTGTCTCCCTTAATCATCAGTATATAAAAATGTATTTACGGACAACAAAAGGCTGTCAGGCTGAATTACTGTGTTCAGCTCCTTGCCAGGGAGAAAACTGGGGAGTCATTTTGAAACGGTTTACTCTGAAAATGCAACCTGAGCCACCCAATGTCCCCAAAGGCATGGGGAAGAATCCGTGGCTGTGTCGTCAGCCGGTGAACAGTCTTTGTCACACGACCTGAAACGCAGCACTCTCGGAACCTGGGTCCCTTGGCAGCGAGCCACAGAGGGGACCTGAACATTACCACCGTGTGCCACTGAGATGGCTGTTTATTTCAGAAGGCTATCCTGTCACAGTATGGCAGCTCACTGGGAAATATCAGAATAATGCATACACACACAAGCTTGAAATTAAGAATGATTTATCTGAAAACCTCCTGACATAGGACAGGTTTCCCTGAACTTCTCTGTTCCATTCTTAAAGCAGAAGTAACACTGCTAACACGCACAACCTGGCTGTGCAGACAAGGTTTTCAAAACTTCTAAAACATTCCTGATGATCAGGCTGGTTTGTGCATGGCATGACATGAAAATGGAAGTGACAGGAAGGACCCAAGACACTGGAGAGCTTGTGCACAAAAGAGCTTAGGGAAAGCAGCCATGTGGTTTTCATGAAGATCGCACCCAGCTGTTGTCCTGAGACGTGGAGCTGGGAGATGCTCTAGAGCTGCAGGCCCTGTGTGCTTTGAGAAAGATGCAGGGATAACCCCCAGGTCCCTTCGACAACTGTCTGGATAAGAAGATGATACCTGGAATTACGGTGACAGTGTCTGTTCTAATTTCCATATGCGTTTGAATGAAAACCACTAGCCTTCTCTGCTAAAGGAGTAAAAAAAAAAAAATTGTCCGACGATGTGTCATACATATTCTGAGGGTTTACTCTGTCACAGTCTCTGTGAGTGCAGAGATGAGCATGACACGGGGCACCCAGAGGCCCCCCAGTCTGGCTGTGTGTGTGAGTGTGTGTGCTGTGTGGGCACATGCGTGTGCACAGCAGGCTGGCATGACCAATCCGGGGAAGTCAGTGTGGAAAGTGCTGGGCCAGAGGGTGCAGTAGAAAGCTTGCTCAGGAGGGGACAAGCCAGGCTCAGAGGCTCAGGAAGGGCATCTGGACAGAGGGAACAGCATGACTGGTGCCACAGAGGCCCTAGACGTCTGTTCGTGTGCTTACATTATTCTAAAATATAAGATTCTTCTATTAACGAAAATAACCAGCGAGGGTTCTACAGTTGTGATTTCAAAGAAATAACTGTTGATGTTAGAGCTATGTGACACTCCTCCTGGAGAACACAACTGATTTTCTGTTTTGTGCACAACGAGATGCTAATGTTTCCTAGTTGTCAGTGGTCCGAACATACTTGGCTGATCGTTTTCTAAGCAAATCTTTCAGTGAGCTGATAAAACACTGTTCTGACAAAACTTCAAATATAGTTGGTGCAGACCTGTATGATTGCCTTGCCTTAGACACACTTTGTGCAGCAGGACACAGCAGGACGCCCGCTACACCTGCCAGGTGCGCAGACACACCAGCGGGAGCCCCAGCCTCAGATCCCAGCACTACCTGTGTGGTAGCAGCAAGCACAAACCTTCCTCATAAAGAGAGGGTTAGGGATCAAGGTTATCCTTTTATAGTATGCATCGTCATTATCTGTCCTAATTATGAGTCGCTTGTTCAGCCCCTTCCCTCCAAGGTGTGCCCAGGAGCCACCTGTCCCCGTACCATGGAGGTCCTTGGGAATCCTGAGGTGAGGGGCCACAGCAGGGACCCGCTCAAGTCCCCTCTGGCAGGGGCAGAAACTGCCACCCAGAGACGCCAAGTCCTGTCTTAGGACATTCCTGACGCTGCCTGTCACTGAACATTGGTGCCCAAACAAACTAGCACTTGGAAAGGCAAAAACTCCAGCTCTTAAGAGGAAACTGTCTCACGGGCTCTGCTAACATCTCTCCAGGGAGAGCCCTCTGCCTCACACGATGCTGAGGGCGACGTATGGAACGCGTCTAACACTACTGCACAGAACGTAAAAAAAGCTTGGAACAAACATCTGTAAAACACGAAGACGACTCTTATCAGACAGAAATACCAATGTACCATTCTAACATTTGCATTTACAATAAAAAGGTGTAGTTATCACTATAAAACTCTTCCTCAAATAAGCCATTTGCAATTATTGATGTGACTTTTTTTTTGCTTAAACTCAAGTTCCACGTCAAATTTTAGTGCCAAAATGATTTCTAATCTAGGAGACAATATCGTGCGAACTGTACGTAAGACATGGATCAGTTTTTGAGAGAAAAAAGTCATACTATCTCATTGATCGAGGTTTAAATCTAGATGCTCTCTCTGGACAGTCACCATGCACAGGGGGCACACCCACCACATGCCTGTGACACTGCACTGTGACACTCCTGTGTCGCATGCCGGCACAGCAGAACACAATAACCTTAGTACACACTGTATAATAGCTAAATAGCTCTGACCTGCCTTGCTTTGCATTCATGGAATGCGATTTTTTAACAGAGGCATCTGCATAGTTTTCATGAATGTTGTAAGACAGACAATTGGTATTTTTTTCTCTTTTCTTTTTAAAAATAGATACAAGGCATCCCTTCCCACCTGCCCCTGCAAAACCTAACAACTGAAAGGGAAATTGGAAGGCATGCTAAAATTAGGGAACATACCTTTTTTTTTATGATGTCACTTACACAGCAACTTTTTTTTTTTTTTCCCTTTTTGTCTTTTTTACTGACCGGTAATGGGATCACAACCCTCAGTGTCGCGCCCATATCAGGGACCAGCAACGGGATTGCAACCCTCGGTGACGTGCCCACACCACACTCAGCCAGTGAGCGGGAACCGGTCTCCACATGGGATCCGAACCCTTGACGGGAGCGCCGCCGCACTCCCAAGCTGCGCACTCTCCAGTGCGCCACCGGGCTGGCCCCACAGCAACTTTAAGAAACCACCAACTCTGTGGGAATTCAAAGGGCCCTGACCTTGTGCATTTATAGACTCTACACTCGCACTGTCAACCACACATTACTGTGGCTTTTCTATTGCAGGCAGCTTTTTGAATATAAGAACAGAGAATACTGATTTCATTTTTTGTGTAAAAATCAAGGAAAGGAAAGACATTTACAGAGAAATATAAACACCAACTTTTCAAGGGTTTAAAAAAGATTATTCCTGGGGCCGGCCCGGTGGCGCACTGCTACAGTGCGCCGCTTGAGAGTGCGGCGGCTTTCCCGCCGAGGGTTTGGATCCCACATACAGACTGGTTCCTGCTCACTGGCTGAGTGAGGGGCGGGCGCAGCACCGAGGGTTGCGATCCCGTTGCCGGTCCTGGTCCGGTACGGGCGCGACACTGAGGGTTGCGGTCCGTTGCCGGACACGGAAAAAAGACAAAAAAAAAAAAGATTATTCCTGGGAGGGGAATACATTTGCTTAGTCAATCCCTGAAATGCACACTGTTGTCTTAGTAGGACAGCCACTGCCTTACCCGGGGCACTCGGTCACTTCGGGCTCCTCGGGCGGGGGGCTGCCTTCTGATTTCTTCCAGCCGATGATGTATTTGTTCGCTGTCCCTTGTCTGTGGTAGGGCTTAGATGTGGACCCAGGAACCTGCTGACAGCTACTGTGAGACACGATGTAGACTTTGGATGTGTCCAGAGATCCAGTGTTTTTGGAGCAGTGTGCCGAAGGACTTCCTGAATGGTGAGACCCACTGAGGAGAAAACAGACAGAAGCCAGGATGGAATCAGAGTAAGGCAGTGCCGGACACGGCCAAGTTCACGGCCACGGCTTTGCTCGGTCCTCCTCTGGGAGCCCACATGAGTCTGTGAGGCAGGTGTCACCTTTTTTCGACCATGCGGCAAGGGAGAAAGCTCACTGTCCACAGTCTAAGGTTGCTCATGTGTGAGCTGGACACCTGTGGTAGGAAGGATATTGAACACACGGTCAGGGAAATCTCCTAGAAAAATAGGCATCATATTTAAATTGACAATTCAAAAGAGAGGAAACTCAAATGGGGAATAAACGTGAGAGGGTGCTTGATCGGCCTCAGCTGTCACAGGGGAATGCCAATGCACACCACCATGGCATATCATTCCACACTCACCAGATGGGCAAAGACAGTACCCACAGTTAGCCAAAACCTGCAGCAGTGGTGTCCTTGTGAAAGCGCACAGAACAAGTGGGGTGTCAACTATGAAGGTGTGCACCTGCAGAGCACACGATCCAGCAATTCCGCTCCTAAGTGTATACACTCAAACCCCTGGACAGGTGCAACAGGAAACACAGAACCATGTGACGAAAGCACTGATCTTCATAACTCCCCAATGGTGGCAACGCAAATCATCAATAGTGCAAGGATATCCAATAAATAAATATGAACACATACACAGAATACTCTACGAATGAATGAACTGAGGCTACACACAATTTGGGTAATTTCACAAACATGACGTAGAGAAAGTAGCAAGTCACAAAGAGTACGATGATCATGAATCCATTTTTAATAAAGTTCATAAACTGGCAAAACTAGAAAATATGCTGTTCAGGAAAACATAAAGAAAACGAAGGGATGATTATCACACAAGCCAGGTTAGTGGCTGCCTCAGCGGAGGAGAAAAGGGGTTGTGCATGGGTGGGACGCAGACAGCGTCCAGACAGCCACGTTCCAATCCTTAACCTGTTGCAGTTACATGGGTGTCTGCTGTGTCATCGCATGACACAAGAGTACCAACACTGAAACAGACAGAACTCCTCAAAACTATAAACATTTTGGGCCAGCCAGGTGGCGCACTGGAGAGTGTGCCACTTGGGAGTGTGGCGGCGGCGCTCCCGCCGAGGGTTCGGATTCCATGTGGAGACCGGTTCCCGCTCACTGGCTGAGCGCGGTGCGGACGCAACACCGAGGGTTGCGATCCCGTTGCCGGTCTCCGGTACGGGCGTGACACCGAGGGTTGCAATCCCGTTACCGGTCAGTAAAAAAAAACAAGACAAAAAAAAAAAAAACTATAAACATTTTAAACGTTAGCGGTTAAGCTAAAGCCAGAAAGCCTACCCCTCTGAGTGAGGAATTAAGTGCATAGTGTGACCCCCATCAGAGAGCTAAAGACCTTTTTTTAAATCAGAAAGATTAATAGTATAAGGTTCTATAAAAAATAAGTAAAAACAGAGATTAGGAATTGCCTTATACGTAGGAAAAACTTCCAGCATTTAAATGAAGTTCTAATGTCAGATTTTGGAAAGGCGGGAGAGCTTCACGCTCAGAAAACCTGACACACAGGTGCACTGTGAAGACTCCTGGGCCCCAGTGCCAGCTCTGTTACTTACCACAGAGCTCCTGGACAAGTTCCTTAACCTCAGGTTTCTCATCTGTAAAATGGGAATAATAACACTATCCACCTCAGCAGGTGGCTCTAAAGATGAGCTGAGTTAATATTAGTGAAGCATTTACAACAGTGCCCAGTATAGGGTAAGCATTATACAAATGTAGCCAATTTCTTAAAAAGCAATCTATAAAAGAATTATTCACAGTGGGAACCTTTCTAGCAAAAGATTTTCCTACAGGGTTCCTCGGGCAGCAAGCTCCACTGGTATGCTGAAATCTTATTTTATTCTGGAACCCAGAACGAGCACACACCTTTTCAGAAAAACCTATGTACTAAGCAAGTGTCACACAAGAGAAGAAAAGTATAAAGTTAAGAATGATATTAAAATGGGCTTTGTAATAGAGGCTCAAGAGGAAATCAGGAAAGAAAATAAAGGGACCCATCTTTGGGTCTTTGCACTTTGGAAAACACTGCCATACTTAAGAAATCAAACAAAACACCTCATCTACTCCTACAGAGTAACTGAGTTGCTGGGGCAGGTCTGGAGCCCCTGAATATGACCACAGTCCCCTCACTCTAGGCCCTGATGGTGGGCCTGGGGGAAGACGCCGTGCTGCCATGCCAGCAGCCTTGGCCCAGTGAGACCCCAGACATGGGCAGAGCAAGGCAACCCACCCACCGCAACCTGGGGGATACAGTGGGGCCAAACAGGCTCCGAGAAAAGAGCTGAGGGACGCTTTCCACTTACCAGTTAGTGAACTCCTAACACGAAAACCCCATAACTAGATAATGGGCTCTGCAGGCCTGTGTATGATTTTCCCAAGCTTCTTGTGTTGCAAACTTCAGTTCTACAGAGAAGGCACAGAACAGTAGAATACACGTCCACACACCTCCATCTAGAGACACTAATTGTTACTATCTCGCTACCTCTACACATATTCCTCTCTGAACCACTGGGGAATTAGTTGCAAACATCACCCTCCCATATTTCAGCAATTTCAGCATGCATTTCCTGAGAACTTTCTCCACCTAGCAGCAATGGGATTGCTGCACGCAGGAAATCAGGCCGGTGTGCAATACTGTTATCTAATACTCAGTCCCTGTGCTGGGCTCCCAGCTGTCCCAACAATGCTTTTGCCTTAGTTTCCCCTTGAGACCCTGAGGAAGGACGGTGCACGGCCTCTAGCCACCCAGAACACCATGAGTTTCAAGGCCTTTGATGATCCCCGAGATGTTTCATAGTTTAAGGCTGGGGTAGGGCTGACAGGCTGCATTTTGTGAAGGTTACTCACATGCGCTCCTTGAAATGACCAAATGACACATTTTTGAAAGTGTGTAGTGGATAATGACAGCATGGTCACAAACCACGTATTTCCCATTTTTTTGCAAAAGATATTTTTCTAATTAGACTTGATTTTAAAATGTCCTTTATCCCAATAATGAAGCATTTTAAAGATAATTCTAAGAACAAGCGCGCTGAAGCCATTTGATGAGTCTGACGGCACAAATCCGTGTTTCGTGGCAGCAACATCATTATAAAGGTTTTCCCCGAAGCTGGTCAACATTCTAGAAATTTGGCAATAAACTTGTCATGAATCCTTTCTTTATAAAGTTCTTATGTTGGATTTACCCTGCCAGCTTCCAGTCACTTGTTCTAGGAGAAGGGCACGGCGATACCATTGGTGACAAACAACAGAGAGTCACACGAGCTGTTTACGGGAGGATCCAGAACACAGATTTTTTATTTATTTCCTTTTTTTGCAGTTGATTTAGTTCACGTTGCAAAAACCTTGGGTAGGCTACCACGAATGCTGCTGTGTATTCTGAGCTCTTATCTAAGTGTCCTGCCCTCGCAGGAAGGAGAAACTGTGTTTGCTGCATTAAGGGACCTAAGCAGCAGAAGAGAGGTGAGACACAGGCCTGTCCTGCTTAAGAAAGGACTCTGCCAGCCCCGCCTCATGAGTGTCACTGTCTTAACAGGCTTTAAGTCCTTCTTTCACCTCCTCCGTACAATCCAGGGTCATCTGTGTCCTCACTACCAAAATCCACTGCTGGATGGCCGCTAGGGAGTGTGCGTGTGTGCGCTGGGCTGGGCGCGGTGCCAGTGCTGTCAGGGGGCAAAACCAGGATTAGACAATTAGAGTAGTCCAGAGGCTGGCTGGGCTCTGTTGCTGTGACCTGGGATGGGCAATCCCCGTTCGTCCTGCTGCTCGAGGTCACCCAGGCACCTCTTACTAGTCTGGTCAGTGCATTCCTATCGGGTACCTTTCTAGATCCTCCCTGCAGTGGATGTCCAGGAGCTGCCCACCATGTGCGAGGAGCCAAGCCACAAGTTGCAGGTGCAGGTGTATAGGACGGCCATGTCCCTGGTGGTCCCCACATGCACGTGACAGGCTCCTAATGCTTGGGATAGAGTGCGACTCTATGCGGGTAGCCAGCCCCTGAGACAGCTTACTCTGCACTTCTGATGTCTGGGCCACTCCCGGTCACACCCCAGGCCCTGGGGCAGAGGCTTCAGCACCTCCAGGGACAAGCACAGCCCCCTGGGGCCTGGCATTCCAGACTCTGCAGAACCAACCGCAGTGGGACTAGACGGGCAGGGGAAGGTGCCTCTGTGTGCACAGAACACGGGGCAAATGTTGTAAATCCAGCTCCCCAGACCCCCACCTCCTGAGCAGGTCGGAAGACACACAGAAGGAAGCATCAGGAAGATTCCACTTAATGACATAATCCCACTCTGAGCAAAAGTCTACAGCGCAGGCTGAGATGTGGCTTCAAAGTCACCGTAAGCTAAGAGTCACAAGCACAGGGCAGTCAGTGGCAGAGGATTCCACTCGCTCAACAGTCATCATTCCACAGCAGCTGTGCCTATAAATATCATCTGTGTATTTGATACATATAACATATATTTGATGTTTATAGCAAATGCCTGTAAATATCCCTACCTCTTATAAACGAACATGCTCTGAAAGCAGTTTCTGCAGAAATTCGACTTAAGACTGATACAGAACTCTGTGTGTGATGTCAATTACACCTGTCTAAGGAGGTATCAGGAAATCAGCTGCTTTACAAATCTTCTAACCTTTGAGTAAGATGTTAGAAGGTTATAAAATCCCAACTATTTTTCTTTTTATAGTATGGACAATTTTGAACGGTTCCTGAAATTAAGTCAGGTAACCAAATTCACCAACGATCCTTACATATTATTTTAGTCACATTATTAAACAGAACTGGTAAAAAGTAGTAGAATGTCTATTTTGAAAATACTCCCCACATGCTAGGCTCCTCTGCCCCAACGTACAGAAGGCAGAGACGTGGTGGACAGCTGGATTCCTGCTGTCTGGTGTCTGTCCCCTTTTCCCGGTCAGATGTCACTCTGGTTTTCTTGCAGGGAAGTGGCTGTGGTCACCTTCCTCAGCAGCATGGCTAGTGGAACTGACCCCAGCCCCAGCTGCCCTGGGCGATGCCACCCCTAACCACAGTATGTAAAGCCAGGGACGTGTGAGGGGATATTGAGGGGGGGGGGGCTTCTGCAGGGGCAGAGACTGTCTCTTCTGCAGAAACTAGAGGACTGCCGCTTTCTTCCTGGGGACAAGAGGCGAGAGGACGGGGGGCTGCAGGTGTCACAGCTGTTTATAGCTAAAAAGAGAAAGCTGAGATTTTTGGGGGTGTCATGTGGAGCCCAAAGAGGAAGGGGACCCGGTCTTGGGTGGTATCACTTGAGCTGCTGGGTGAAGCAGACCCTTGAGATCCCTGGACGTTTGGGTCCCATGAGCCCAAACACTACCTTGGTTGTATGAAGCGATTCATGTGGAATTTTCTTTACCTCGTAACACAGATGTCCCTGAGTGACACTCCGTCTCCGTTATCAGTGTGGAGGTGAGGAAGGGGAGGTCAAGAGGGGAGTTGGGAGGGCAGAGCCGAGAGCACCAAACGCCCTGAGCATGTCACCGCTAGAAGTGTCCCCAGGTCACCAGGCTTCTGGAAGCACACCCCAACCCCACCCAATCCCAGCACATCTGACCCAGTCCTGTGGCCTCTGGATGGGTCTGGGGAAGGGTCAGATAGGGAGTTGGAGCTGAACCAGAGAAGGCCGTGGAGACACAGGGCAGGCGGCGGAAGGAGCTGAATTCTGTCCACAGTCAGACCTGCATAAACACATTCTCGCCTCGTCCTTGAAAGTGAAGGCGGGAATCACAGATTTCGAGTTTCAAGCCTGA